GGCAGTGCCAAGGCAAACCATAACTAACTCCTGAACTTGACCTTACTGGCCATAAAACTTCCCAGTTGTTGTTTTTTTTGTTTTTTGTTTTTTTTTGTTTGCCATATAATTATTTGGGAAAATGTAAGTTCTTAGCCATTAAGTAAATATCCACCACCTGGAATGGTACAATAAACATTGTATTATACTTACTTCTTCACAAATCTGCCTGTCTTGTTCATCTCTCTATACACAAATCCATATTATTTTTTGAAGTTGCAGACATCAGTACACTTTACCACTAAACAGTTTAGCATGCATATCATTAACTAGAGCTCAATATTTGCTTTTTATTCTTTTTTTAAGTAAAATTTGCATACAATAAAATCCACATATTTTAAGTGTACCATTCAATGAGTTTTGACTAATGTATACACCCATGTAACTCAAACTTGTGTGGAGATATAGCACATTACCCTCACCCCAGAAAATTCCCTCTTGCCTCTTCCCAGTCAATTCCCACCCACCGAGGGGTTGTTCTAATATTTTTCACTATCAATCAGTTTTACCTATTCTAAAACTTTATATAAATGGAGTCATAATTTATTTACTCTTTTATGTAAGGCTTCTTTTACCCAAGATAATATTTTTGAGATTCATCCATGTTGTTTTGTGTATCAAGAATTTGTTCCTTTTTATTGAGTATTATTCTATTGTAGGAATATACAGGTTTTATATCCATTCTCCTATTGATAGACAACCTTTGGGCTGTTTCCAGGTTTGGTTATTCGAAACAAAGCCACTGTGAACACTCTTATAGTGACCTTTTTGTGAATATGCTTTCATTTCTCTTGGATAAATACCTAGAAATAGAATTTCCAGATCAGAGGGTAGGTGTATGTTTAGTTTTATAAGAAACTGCCCGACGTTTTTAGAAAGGAGTCGAACCATTTTACACTCCCACCAACAATGTATGAAAGTCCCCATTGCTCTATATCATTACCAAGATTTAGTGTTGTCAGTCTCTTTAATTTTAGGCCTTCTGGTGTTTATCCTATTACTTTTTGAATTATAAAGGAAGAATATCCACAGTAGACAGAGTTTCCATTATCAAGGGGAAACTTAGGCAATATTTGTATTCACGTTTACCTATTTCTGTAACAGTTCAGTTTTCTTAAGCCATATGATTGTCATTAAATCCTGATTCTCATCCTTAAGGAGCTGGTTGAAAGCAGATTCATAATTTGATGATTAAATGTTTTTGGTTCAACTTGAGCTCTAAATCACTGAAATTTTGTTGAAATTAATTTTTAGGATTTTTTCTATTCATAATAAGACTTTGAAATTAATCAAAATAATCATGTTAGCTCTTATCTTATTCTCAATAGAAAAAAATAAGCAACCACAACCTAGTCACTACTTCGTAAAATTTCTTTGACTGAATTAAGCAAGCATCACCTCCAGGGTGACTCTGATAAACTTAAACCTTGATTAATAAGACTGAATCATTTTAGACCAAACATAAGTAATACGAGGTAAAGTAAATGAATAATTTCTTTTATAAGGATCAGCACAAAACTGGTTCCTATGAGGTAGAGGTTAAAGATGTTCCAAATGTCCAACTTTTCCAAGCTGCTGTACCCCTCCATCATCTCTAACATAAACTACTCCCTCTCCCCTCAGTATTCTCCCTCCCATCGTTGGGTTCCCTAATTCACTGCAATGTCTCACAGAACTCATGAACCATATAAAGGAAATGGCTCATGCGGTTGTGGAGACTGGCAAGTCCCAAAATTGTGGGTCAGGCAAAGACTTCTCCCTGGCCCTCAGTCTCTGCCCAGAGGCACTCAGCTTTCTTGCTCCGTGGGCCAGGAAGCTGACTGTGCTGTCTCCTACGGGTATCTGCTGCTGGTCTATCCTTTGGTGGTGGTGGGTTCTCCTCTCTGCTCTGGAATTGGCTCTCTTTTAAGGCGAAACAGACCAGTCCCCTCAGTGGGCCATAATTATCTTATTTGCACATCCCTGCCCAATCACCTGGGTGGGAGTCACAAGACCATGGCTAGAAAGGCCACACACAAAAGTAATTAATCACACCGCATAAAGTTACCTCCAAGTTAAGTTGCTTTCAGTTCCTGGAGGAAGTTCATAGGTCTAAAATTATTTTTAATGTAAGTGACTCCTTAGGTCTTGTAATTTAGCCCTGGGAGGTTTCAAGGCTTTTAACTACTGTTTTCCTGGCTTTTCCTCCATTATCCATGTTCTGACTCTCGCTCATATGTTGTGAAATAACCTAGATGCACTTAATGTTCTCAAAAATGCATCTAAGTTCACTGCTTATAACATAAGGGATATTAGAACCCATTTGGCAATTCATCTTTCTTTGAAATGAACTTTTAGGAATCAGTAGTACTAATAAATCTGAGAGCTCTAAAGTGGGAGAACTAAAGTGTACAAGTCCTGAGGTTAATGTAAGCTGGTTTGAAAGTAGCAAGTCCTATATTTTAGACTCAAGACTTTAAAGAATCTTCATTGAGCACTTCTCCCCTCTGAGGTGAGACAAATCGCTGATGAGTGAAATCTTGAAATACTAAAATAAAAGATACCTTAACTTTTCCACCACTCTTTCTTTCTGTATACCTCAATTTTCCAAAATATTATAGGATAATGTGAGAGCGTGTATACAGATTTTTTAACTAGAACATGTATAAAGTAACTTTAGCACCAATTAATTTTTGTTAGGCAGGTTGGATTTCTGGTAGCACCTTCTAAGTTCCATCCCATAACACTTATGAGAGGAGTAATGATTCCACAGTTTCTAGAATCTCTACAAGTTACAGAGGCATTAGGGAGACGACATCCAAGGAAATGTTTTTATTTGGGCATTTTAATCTCTGTTCTGACTTGCCTTTTTCAGACGCATTTGGTGCATTGCTTTCTTTCTCTCATTCTAGCTGTAAAATAATAAAATATACTGGCTCTTAAGATATAAGCTAATAAGGTAGTCATTTGTTTCAATTGCATAAAATATCATCTCTCTATGAAGTTTGCATATTTTAGGAACTAAGCCACAGCACATATTTTGTACTTCTGAAAATAATAATATTAAATGGCTTGGAATGATACTGCACTTAGCTACTGGCTAATTGTTCCACTCATCAAATATACAATACATACTCTAGATTTTTTTATACATTTGTTGTTGTTTTTTTTAATCTCCATATGAGCTGCCAGGGCCAATGCTATGCGTAGGTGAAAATAGGCAGCTGCAGTTGGGATGATGAATAGCAACAGAAAGAACTGCCTGCCTTAAAATATTTTCCCCTCTAGCCTGCCTTTGAGAAATGCTGTTATCTTCAAATTTTTATACCAAAATCAATGAATGTATTAGCAAGTAATATTCCAGGATCACTTTTTATTACATAAACCATGAATGCCCATTATCCATTCAGGGATTAACGAGGCCATGAAGGAATGGGAGGTAGGTCAGAGACATTTCAAAGGCTGAAGATGACATGAAATAATGAGAGGTTGTGTGGGGCGCCCCGAAGTAGTAGGAGGACAGCTTGGGGGTGGAAGGCACCTGTAGGAGGAAGGTCTGAAAGGGAACCTGGGACTTCTGCCAAACACTTTGTCTGCTTCCACTGTTGGCCTAGAGTTGGATCCGTGAGACTCAAATGAGAAAGTAATGTAGTCTTCATTTCCAGATAAAGCCAAACTTTGCATGTTAGCCCTTTTGAGACACTTTGTTCTATCTGACACAGGAAAGACATAAGATGACTGTGCAGGCATCACTCATGCTGATTGAGGCAAAGAATTTTGCACTTTCCTGTGTTATATAAGCCATATGGCTAGAGGAACTCTTGCTCGTCTACTAAATAAGTATTGAAACTGAAAAACTAACTCTCATTGTAAAGTGCTGTGCAAAAAAAAAGTGCAAATGCTTTTTGCTGTGATTCCAGAACTTAAATAAAAATGAAGCCACCATCTTTTTTTTTCCTGATAATTAATTACCCCTGACATTTTGCCACCAACCCACTTTAAAAAGAAATCAAGTCCAAATGCTGCATTATTGAATCAGGTTTCATTGCATTTTAAATAAATGGGGTTAGAAATAAGGATAAAATGATAAAACGTTAGAAATAAGGACATTTGACAGAGTTCACTTTTAGACGTTCTTCCATTTCTAATCCATCTCTAAACTTTATCCATTTATTTAATTTGCTTTAGTCAGTACATGGTACTTTAGTTGCATATAAAAGAGTATTGTTTTATCAACAACTAATTTCTCGATCCTTAATCAGAAAGTAAAAGTGATCACTCCATGTTTTAGCATGTTCACATTTATATATGTTTTGTCATACTCAGTAGAGAAAGGATTAGAGCGTAAGTTCAGTGTTTATTTAGCTTTAGATTGTTAAGCATAATTATTAGACTTTTATTACTTTTCTTTTTTCATAATTTTTTTTCATTAAAAACATTTGGTCTTTCATAAATTAATCATCACAAACAATAAAAGAATATCCTTTAGACTGAGACCAAAAAAGCCTTGATAAAAAGAATTCATATCTTGGCTTTCTAATACTATTATGCTAGAGGGCCTTAATATTAAAGAACCACCTCATAACTAGTAACTTAATAACTCTTTGTTAGCGCCTCTAAAAATATGAGTTTTTCATCTCTTCTTACAGGCTAGGAGATTCTTCTGGTTTAAGTGTATTTTAGATATTTGTTCCAACTGTTAAGTTGAAAATGTCTGATATTTTCAATTAATTAAAACATTTATGGTTTTAAGCTTCCAGCAGAAGTCTGCTGCTGAAGGAAAAAAAAAATTACAAGCTGCTAGCGAGAAGGACACTTATGTAAGAAATATGACATCGGGCATTGGTCGGAAAGCAGGAAGTATTTCAGACTCAAGGCATTAAGGAATCTTCACTGAGCACCTTCCCCTGTTGGAGGAGACAAGTGACTGATGAGTGAAATCTTGAGCATGTTCCCAGCTTTTCCTTTTCATTCTGTTGCAGCCCAGAAGACGGTGAGATCCATCCAGAAATCTGTCGGCTGTACATCCAGCTGCAGTGCTGCTTAGAAATGTACACAACAGAGATGCTGAAATCCATATGTCTTCTGGGGTCTCTTCAGTTTCATCGAAAAGGTATCCCCATTTAATATATTGCATAAACACAGACGAAAGTTAAACAAAACCTAATCTTTTGAAGACTGCCTACATGCATTGTATGTGCTGTCTATACAGAATTAGAATGGACTTAAATATTCAAGAAGGGTTTGATACATGAATTAATACTATGTGCATGAGAACACTGATCATTTTGAACAGAAATTGTGGTAGAAACAATTCTCACATTTATTATTTTTAGTACCTGTGACCATGGCTTGGTTAGAACAGCAAAATTTAAAAATGATCTTATTAGGATAGGGAACACTATGCAAGAATGCTGCCATTTCCCTAAATGAATTAGTTTACAACAAGACAAATTATATATTGTGTCCTAAAGATTTAAAGGGAAAACTCAGTAAACAATAGGGAGGAATATTAGTAATAGAAAATCTCATTCAAACTGACTTTAACTATAAAGGGAATATATCGACCCAAACAACTGAAGCCTCCAGGGGTGGCAGTGGCTTCAGACATGGTTTAATCAGGCCTTTGACTCCCATTCTGAGTGATGCTCTGCCTTGCCCTGGATATTGTCTTTCTCCTCAAGCTGTCTTACCCCCCTTAGCAAACTGATTGCAACAGTTACAGTCATCACATCTGCATATCACACATCCAGAAAGAGAGAGAATGTCTTCTTCTCCCAGCACTGGAGAAAAACTCCTGAGTTTCCTTCTGATTAGACCAGGTCAGATTAGGGCCCACCCCTGAACTAATCACTATAGTCAGAGGGATAGAATTACACTGGTAGGTTTGCAAAATCAAGGCCTATTCCTGAAGCTAAGGGTAGAGTCTACCCCACCCAACCAGTGGCTATTGCATAATGAGAGAGGGTAGAATGGAATGGATGCTGGGGAAGAAACTAAAAGTTTCTACTATTCCCACTACTAGGAATATAACCTAGCGAAATAAGAGCTGTCACACAAATATATATATGCACACGCATGTTCATTGCAGCGTTATTCACAATAGCAAAAAGATGGAAACAACCTAAGTGCCCATCAACAGATGAATGGATAAACCAACTATGGTACATACACACAATGGAATACTACACAATGAAAAAGAACAATGATGAATCTGCAAAACATCTCACAACATGGATGAATCTGGAGGGCATTATACTGAGTGAAATAAGTCAATCACAAAAGGACAAATACTGTATGAAACCACTCTTATAAAAACTAATGAAAAACTTTGCACACAGAAAGAAACAATCTTTGATGGTTACGAGGGAGGGGAGTGGTGGGGGAGAAAAAACACTAGATAGTAGATAAGCGGTAACTTTGGTGAAGGCTAAGACAATACACAGTACTGGGGAAGTCAGTACAACATGACCAAAGCAAAGTCATAGAAGCTTCATAGATGCATCCAAACTCCCTGAAGGACTGAATCCTGGCCAAGAGCTGGGAACCATAGTCTCGGGGGACATCTAGCTCAATTGGCATAACATAGTTTATAAAGAAAATGTTCTACATCCTACTTTGGTGAGCAGCGTCTGTGGTCTTAACAGCTTGTGAGCAGTCATCTAAGATACTCCACTGGCCCCACCCCATCTGGAGCATGGGAGAATGAAGAAAACCAAAGACAAAAGGGAAAGATTAGTCCAAAGGACTAATGGACCACGGCCTCCACCAGACTGAGTCCAGCACAACTAAATGGTGTCTGGCTACCACCACCAACTGCTCTTACAGGGATCACAACAGAGGGTCCCAGACAGAGCTGGAGAAAAATGTAGAACAAAATTCAAACTCACAAAAAAGGACCAGGCTTACTGGCCTGACAAGAGACTGGAGAAACTCCGAGAGTATGGCCCCTGGACACCCTTTTAATTTAGTACTGAAGTCACTCCTGAGGTTCACCCTTTCGTCAAAGATTAGACAGGCCCATAAAACAAACAATAATACATGTAGCTCAACCATGTATATAAGATTAAATGGGCACACCAGCCCAGAGGCAAGGATGAGAAGGCAGGAGGGAACAAGAAAGCTGGGTGAATGGAAATGGGGAATGCAAAGTCAAGAAGGGGAGTGTGTTGACACATCACGGGGTTGGAAACCAATGTCACAAAACAATATGTGTATTATTTAATGAGAAACTAATTTGCTCTGTAAACTTTCACCTAAAGCATATAAAAAACAAAAGTTTCTATTACTGGAGAACTCAACCTATGTTTTCTTCATTAATTCATTGAACAATAATTTATTGAGCACCTGCTAAATGCATAGTTTTTGTGCTTGAGTTCAGGAGAATAGGGGGATGCCTAGAAGGTAATCCTTGTCCATGATTTTAATTCAGGGATACAAAGGTCAGTGAACTCTGAAATATTCAGGGAAAATCTTGTAGAAAGAATGGGACTTGAACTGGGTGGTGAAGCTTGGGTTCATATAGGGAAAAAAAACAAAGACATTTCAGGTAAAGAAGTAGAGATCTGACATCAAATAGAGCATTGCAATTTGGGGAAAATAAATCTTATGATCCATCACTCGTCTGTCAGTTTGTCCTACTGTGGTGGCTTGTGTGTTACTGTGATTGTGGACAGGTTTCAATGGAGCTTCCAGACTAAGACAGACTAGGAAGAAGGACCTGGAGATCTGCTTCTAAAAAAAAAAAAAAAATTGACCAGTGAAAACCTTATGAATAGCAGCTGAACATTGTCTGATATAGTGCTGGAAGATGAGCCCCTCAGGTAGGAAGGCACTCAAAATATGACTGGGGAAGAGGTGCCTCCTCAAAGTAGAGTCAATCTTACTGACATGGACAGAATAAAGTTTTAGGGACCTTCATTTGCTGAGATAGCACGACTTAAAATGAGAAGAAACAGCTTCAAATATCTATTAATAATTGGAACACGGAATGTACAAAGTATGAATCTAGAAAAATTGGAAGTCATCAGAAATGAAATGGAACACGTGAAGATTGATATCCTAGGCATTAGTTAGCTGAAATAGATTGGTATTGGCGATTTTGAATCAGAAAATCATATAGTCTACTATGCTGGGAATGACAAATTGAAGAGGAATGGCGTCACATTCATCATCAAAAAGAACAGTTCAGTATCTATCCTGAAGTACAATATTGTCAGTGATAAGATAATAGCTATACGCCTATAAGGAAGACCAGTTAATATGACTACTATGCAAATTTACGCACCAACCATTAATTACGAGCTTCTGTAGTCTGAAATTGATTAAACATGCAATCAAGATGCATTGATAATTACTGGTGATTGGAATGCAAAAGTTGGAGACAAAGAAGAAGAAAGGTATTTGGAAAATATGACCTTGGTGATAGAAACAACACACAGGAGATGCATGATAGAATTTTGCAGGACCTCACAGGATGGAATACAGAGGAATCAAATCAACTACATCCATGGAAAGCGACGATGGAGATCAATATCATCAGTCAGAGCAAGGCCAGGGGCCAACTGCGGAAAGACCATCAATTGCTCATATGCAAGTTTGAGTCAAAGCTGAAGAAAGTTAAAACACGTCCACAAGAGTGAAACTACAATCTTGAGCATATCCCACCTGAATTTAAAGACCATCTCAAGAACAGATTTGATGCATTGAACACTAATGACCAGAGACCAGACAAGTTGCAGGATGATGTCAAGGTCATTATCGAACAATATCATTAATATCACATGCAAGTAAAATTTTGCTGAGGATCATTCAAAAATGGTTTTAGCAGTACATCGACAGAGAACTGCCAGAAGTTCAAGCCAAATTCAGAAGAGATGTGGAACGAGGGATATCATTGTTGATGTCAGATGGATCTTGGCTGACAGCAGAGAATACCAGAAAGATGTTTACCTGTATTTTATTGACTATGCAAAGGCTTTTCACTGTATGGATCAAACAAATTATGGATAACATTGAGAAGAATGGGAATTCCAGAACACTTATTTGTGCTCGTGAGGAACCTGTACACAGACCAAGAGGCAGTTATTCGAACAGAACAAAGCGATGCTGCACGGTTTAAAATCAGGAAAGGTGTGTGCCTGCGTTGAATAAGCCATACTTATTCAATCCGCAGGCTGAGCAAATAATCTGAGAAGCTTGACTATATGAAGAAGAACACAGCATCAGTGTTGGAGGAAAACTCATTAACAACCTGTGATATGCAGATGACACACCTTCCTTGCTGAAAATGAGGAGGACTTGAAGCACTTGATGATGAAGATCAAAGACTACAGCCTTCAGTATAGATTACACTTCAACATAAAGAAAACAAAAGTCCTTACAACTGGACCAATAAGCAACATCATGATAAATGGAGAAAAGATTGAAGTTGTCAAGGATTTCATTTTACTTGGATCCACAATCAATGTCTATGGAAGCAGCAGTCAAGATACCAAACAACATATTACACTGGGCAAATCTGCTGCAAAAGACCTCTTTAAAGTGTTACAAAGCAAAGATATCACTTCGAGGATTACGGTGCACCTGACCCAAGCCATGGTACGCCTCATATGCATGTGAAAGCTGGACAATGAATAAGGAATATCAAAGAAGAATTGACGCCTTTAAATTATGGTGTTCATGAAGAATATTGAATATACCATGGACTGCCTGAAGAATGAACAAATCTGTGTTGGAAGAAGTACAGCCAGATGCTCCTTAGAAGGGAGGATGGCAAGACTGCATCTTACATACTTTGGACATATTCTCAGGAGGGACCAGTCCCTAGAGAAGAATGTCATGGTTGGTAAAGTTGAGGGTCAGCAGAAAAGGAAGACCCTCAATAAGATGGATTGACACAATGGCTGCAACAATGGTCTCAAACATAGCAACGATTGTGAGGATGGTGCAGGACAGGGCAGTGTTTCGTTTTGTTGTACGTACCGTCACTGTGAGTCGAAACCAACTCTACTGGACCTAACAACAACAACAAATGTTATGATAAAGTACTTGTCAAAATCAAATCTTGTATACGCACCATATACATAACAAGATTATGTTATGTCACTCCAA